AAATCATACAAATTATCAAAATTAATGAAAATTGACATAGCTCTTGTCTTCCATGTTATTTAATGCAAATTTCAAACTAAAATCGTGACGTCAGCAGTCCGCAAAATATCCTCTTTCCTTCAACCAACGTCAAAAATAAATCAAAAGCAAAATTTTCCTCATATTTCCTTGTCAAGTGAAGCGTACTTGTCCTCTCAGGATAATTACAGGTTTAATTAATTTAACAACATCGCCCCACTCGACCTTCTTCCACGAGTTTCATCGAAACAATGGTACAGACACAAGCACATTAACCTACTACATTCTGCCAAACTTATTTAAAACATTTTCGACTGTATTACGAAGGAATAGAGCTTAAACGTTTTAAAGACAGATTGGTTTGTACTTTAAGTCCTCGTACTTTCAAATCGCAGTTCTAAGAAACTATAAGCAAAGAACTGAACGTGCATATGTCGAAAACTGGTTTCAATAGTATGTTTTCCTTGTTCAGTTTACCTGTTCAAATTACTTTAGGTTAATTTTATATATATATATGTCATTTGGATTTTTCGTTTATTCTATGTAACATTTCTGACGAAATCTTACAAAAAAGATTCCGAATAAACAGGAAAATAAAATCAGTAAGTGTTAAGTCTTTGAAATGAGATGTTTTTCATCTACCCTCCACTCCACGATTAAACTAGATACGGTTTACGGGTAATGTATTCATAGATTTTCAAAAGAGTCAATAAACACAAAATAAACGTCTCGTAGATCTAATCTGTAACTATAAATAGATAATGATCTCAGCTATTCTCTTTCATATTATTTTCCACTTAGCTATAAAAAAAAACTATAAAATAATTCTCCTATTAGTTATTCATTTCGAAGCTTCCAGAATAAAATCCATTAGTAAAGTTGGTTTAAAATTTAGTGTGACAGTATATTTTTAGACAAATAGGTTAATAGAACGTTTTAGAAGCCCCGAAGCCCCGCAGACCCGCGTCGAGGGGCTGCGGTGTGGGAATCAATAACCGATTTGTGTTGTGACGGAAACAGATAAGATATCGTACTGCGCTTAATGGAAAATAATGTTGATGCTACATTTTATCATGTAGAACATATGTATTAATTATTAAAAACAATACATACCACTCGACTTAAAGGCAGCAAGAGTGCATCCATGTAAAAGAGGTTCATAAACCGGTCGAATTATTTAGCGTGTATCAGTTTCGGAATGCACAATAATTAGCAGTCAGTTGTATGCCATCAGTTCATGTTTGTTCTGTTGTTAAGCTGACTTACTGCCGATTTCAATAACCTATCTCCACTCAATCCAAAATCTGTGGGTAACTTAGAGAATTTAACCAACTAAATACTCTTAAACTGTCAAACACCGCGAGGACACCGGTGACCGCAACCTATTGTTCTTTAATTGTGTTTATAATGACGGTACTCGAAGAGTTAAGTCCGAGTTAATATCGATTTTTGACTGAAACTCCATACAACGAATGTCATAAATCGGTCCTTATTTGCGAAATTGGCAATTAGGTGTTAGCTGAGAAAGTATTATAAATCTTATTGGGTTATATTATTACAGGGTAACTTTGTTTTCCTACAATTTGAAATCTTATTTACTTCCACCATTCTCCGTGTTTAGTTACCCTTCAATTGTGAAAGGAATATTGAATGCAATAACTAATTTGTTTCCGTGTTTGCCATATTCAGACACATTTATCAAGGAAAATTAAACTCAAGATATAAAAAATAGTAGCTACATAATTGCTACCTAGTTAGTCGGGCTTTTATAGAAATTCTAGGCTTAGCACTAAGGTCAAAGTGTGATTAAGTTTTAGATGTAGACATATAACTAAGAGAATCTAGAATTTGCCGGTGTTTAAGACTTGTATTTTTAATCAGCAGCCGGTAAAATCTTGTCTGGATTTACCGCAGACCCCACACTACAAAATGCTCGCGTCATTCGGTGTGTGGTCGTACTTTTAGGACCATACCCGAATCTTACGTATTTAGTACACAAGGCTAACTAAATCTTCCTAATATTATAATAAGTTTGTGTGTGTGTTTGTTACTCAATCACGTCAATACGACTGAAGGGGTCGGAATTTTTTTTTTATGACATAAGCCGGTAAACGAGCTGACGGATCACCTGATGGTAAGCAATCGGCGTCGCCCATGGACACCTGGAACACCAGAAGCGTTACAAGTGCGTTACCGGCTTTTTGGGGATTAGGAGTTTGAGGATCGTTGGGGATTCAGGGATTGGGGAGATTGGGGAAGGGGAGGGTAATTGGGCCTCCGGTAACCTCACTCACACGACGAAACACAACGCAAGCGTTGTTTCACGTCGGTTTTCTGTGAGGCCGTGGTATCACTCCGGTCGAGCCGGCCTATTTGTGACGAAGCATGGCTCTCCCACACTTAAGGTTCCTAACAAGGGTTACTTCTAATCCCACGGCAACGCGAAGTTAGTAAAAGATAAAGAAAAGTACAAGGTGCTGATTGCCCCTTTCAAAGAATAACAATATGCGTGTGATTGTTATTAATGTATTAATCTGAAATTATAAACAATACGAAGAATTGTAATCTCTCCCAGACATTGTTTTATTTAGAGTGCACAGCACAGCCCACCACTTGTGTTTGTTATGTTAACGGCTGCCGGATAATGTTTACCTGATTGTAACTGGTAAAATAACAGTACACTCTCTCACTGAAATACACGAATAATTACGAAAATATCTTAAACTAAGATGTTACATAGAAATACACGCTTTTATTCTAACAACAATACTAATAATTATTATAATCACCTTAGGCGGATAGGTCAAGGGCTTGATACAGAAGGCAGTTCTTGGAACGGCACGTATCGTGAGGAGGTTTCTGTCTCTGGAACCTTAAGCACCGGTAGCTTAGACAGCTTCTATGTTTACATGATGTACCCATATTTGTGCAAATAAATAATTTGAATTTGAATTTGAATATTTTTAAATATTATTTTTCTGTTTTTTTTAGTAGTATTTAATTTTAGAGAATTTTAAACAAATGAATGTAAATACTAATAAATACATTTTTATACTAATTTGCGATAGTTTGTTTGTTTGTTTGTTATTCCTTCACTTAAAATAAATGAAGGGATCGAGATGGGTAGATCATGTTCTGGAATCCGAATAACACATTTTTATCAAACGGTAACGCAGGCGAAGCGGCTAGCAAAAGCTAGTTGGCTTATAAATCTAAAGCAGTTGGAAACATCGTAATGTCGGGTTTTTATATCTTTCAGAGCTAATCTTTGGTCGACTAGCGCAAACAAATTACCATTTAACTGATCTACTGAAGGCTCATTAATCTCTTTAAAGTTGTTTGACGCTAATGAGGGACTTTAGTTGTGTTGTTTTTTAGTCAAACAAAGACAAAGGTGAACTCGTTAATTGTATCATTTTCACACACTAATATTAGATTTGCTACGAAACAAGCGAGATGGCTATAAAAATTAGGTACAGATCCAGACCACATCTATTCACAAAATCACTAAGAACTTCCCACACTCATCAAGTCTTCAATGATTTGTTGTTTTCAATAAACGAACTGTTCAACGTTAATTACATTCTTTTTTTAAATGTAAAAACAGAACGCATTTAGTATGTAAACATAGGTACGTAGTATCTGCTCATGGAAAGATTCAAAATAAATATACTGATCGACCAATGTAGTGACGTGACGTCGGACATTAAATAAACATTCATCACAAGTGCAAGACACAGAACAACAAAGAACATGATTATGAATACATTTATAGAAATTGTAAAAAACTGTGAATACTAAAATCGTATTCAATCCCGCTCTTGTTAAATTACTTGTCTATACAGTATGAAGCAATAAAAATATGTTTAAAACCATAGTGTCTGATATTCCTTGTGCAATTTGCAATTTGAACATGCCCAAAATGATCTAGAATGTTAGGAATCGTCCTAAATTAATTGATACGCATGATAGTTTTATCCTTATGACACAATATTATTGCGTAGTAAAGTGGAGTGTTAGTTCGTAATAAATAGTGTTAGATACCAGCTGAAGAGACCGCAGCCTTAGATTGTCTAGAATCTAGATAAACAACAAACAGAGCAGCAATTGTTGTATCTAGGACAATCAGATGCGTCACTCTGTGGTACTTGGCGTCAGTGTCGTCACTAGTCACTACACATGCCAATCAAGAGCACTTAGTCTATAATCAACGTTATTTTTGTGGCTAAACGTAATCATAGTACTTTACTTTCGGTAAATTTGGGACTGAAACATCAATTTTGTTTATTTTTGTATGATAAAAACGTCAAAATGTCGCATGATCTAATGGATAGGTTTTTTTGTTACGGAGTCGCGGAGAACCTAACGGATTACCGGGGCTCCGGCTCGAAGTGCAGCGGAAGGAACGGGGTGGTTTTTAGTCCGTAAGACTCTGACACTCCTTCCCGCCTTACCCAGGCGGGAGATGTCATTCGATGATTTTCCCCCCTTAAAAAAAATGGATAGGTATCTACTTAGTTATTTTAGCCATTGTTTCCTAAGTGCATGTCCTTCGGATTTATGGTTATTTAATAAGCGTTTGTTTTTATTGATAAAATCTTATTATGCAGCATAGACCATTTAACATTGGACAATAACAATAGTATAAAAAAAGTTAATGGTTTTATGCTTTATAGTATTTAATATTCTATTGATATTTATTATAGTAAAAGATTATTATATCCATTTATTTCTGATTTATTAAACTATCAATAAACGATTGCGTTAACGATTTCATCACTAGAAATACTAGCATGAGACCATTTTCTTTTAATTTAGGTGATTTTGAAAATCTGCATACTTTTTGGTCATGTTGAAATGTTCCACCTATATGGTTTTGAATGGTATGGTTTAGAATTCAGTTATAAAACCCCATTCTTCATCAATATAAAATACACCTACTTTTGTCAGTTTTGTCTAATTTACCACATTTTTCGTTACAGTTCTCAGTGTTCCTGCTGATCATCTTCGTGGCTGAGCTTGCTGTCGGCATCGCAGGCTACATGAGACACCAAGACCTAGAGAACTCCATTGTAGACCACCTGAACAAGACCATCAAGGAGTACCCCACTAACAAGGACGTCGCCAAGACCTTCGACATCGTGCAGACTGATGTGAGTTTGATGAAATCATTGTTTATTTCTGCTAATAGGCTACACAATACCACTTCTACGTAAACCTTTTATTCCCTGACGAGGTTAGTGAAGCCATTATCATCATCATTAAGTCCAGACTCCAGACTGTACAATAATGGAAAATTTTGGAATTCGAAAAATCATTCCTACCTTGTGTGACCTGGAATTGGACTAGTAGATAGTATTTTCAGGATTTTCGATCATACACGTAGCAGCAGGAAGTCAGGAATGGTGCCCAGTAAAGGGCAATAGGCTCACCCCTCATTACAGAGATTTATAACATAAATAGTGCACCTCTGAATACTACGAGGAGGAGTACATATTATGTCCATACATACCTCATAGAGTATCATGAGGGATTAATAGGCGTGATAACGTTTATTTTTTATGTGATGACTACAAGTACTCTACTACAAAAGAATGAGTTAGCTGACCTGACTCTGTATAATGTTAAAAATAGTGATCTCAGACCGTGAGGCGTGACTAATACCGTTGTCAACAGTAAGCAAGCGTGGTTTAGGGGATTCCTTTGTGTGCCTAGTCATTAGTAGGTAGGTAATACCTACTAGTCAATTGGTCACACAAAAAAAAACTAGTTTGTATGAACACATTACATTTTTGTTTTCAGTATAAAGTAACTGAAGTAAAGATTGTTTTGATAAACCTCAATCACCATTACAAACAAGAGTAAGAAGAATAAATCATTTTATTCTTCTTACTCTTATTTTTATTAATTATAATTATTTTTACTCTTATATTTATTAATAAAAAAAAATTGCTTAATGAAACTTAGTATTTATATCTACATCTTTTCCTACTAATACCAGTTTGCAATCAACCAACCCCCTACATTCGTTGAAAAATTCGAGAAACTGCTAAACAGAATCTATAAATTTCTCAATCCTCGTTTCCAGTTGCAATGCTGCGGTATCTACGGTCCCGGTGACTGGGCTGCGAACAACATCACCACCCTGCCCAGCACGTGCTGCTCAGGCCAGGAGATCACCAGCGGAGTGGCTGCCCCATGCACTGAGACCTCTGAACACTTCCACAAAGATGGCTGCCTGAACAAACTCGTTGCTTATTTCAAGGATATCGCTATGGTGCTCGGTGGTGTCGGCATAGGAGTTGCTATTGTCCAGGTAATTATTCTTTCTTGTCAGAACGTACAAATTGAAAGTACCCTCATACAATGCATGAAGAGATTGATGAATGTAGATGAAGTAAAAAAGTATACAATTATTTGGCGTTCTATTGTCGCTGTCTACCCTATTGGGGACTAAACGTGACGATATGTATGTCTGTCTGTCTGAGATTAAGGTTCATTTACATAGTAATTTTAAAATATCAAACTGACTACTAAGACTTCAGTTTGATCAAGATTCGATATCTCTTTTTATAAAAATCCGTTGTAAGTCTATCAAACCTTTAGAATCGAGTTAAAAACAGTGGTTAGTCATAGTAAATTCAATGCACGATAAATATGTTTTACTGTATACGTATTTACGTAATGTAACTAATGTTTTCTTTCTTTCCAGCTGCTTGGCGTTATATTCGCGTGCTGTCTCGCTCGCTCCATTCGTAGTCAATACGAAACCGTATAAAAAATTACAACGGTATTTTTTCCATATTCTATAGATTTTAGATGTAATAGCAGTGCCCAATATTTTCCACAAATACCTACATATTTTTTTTTACTAAGTTGTGAGTAAGTACACTTTAAGATGTCGAGTCTATGTATATTTTGAAATAATTTATTTTATTATTGTTACTACAGATATTTTGTTTATTTTATTGTAAGATTTAAATGTTAACAATATTCATAAATGCTTAAAATATCAGTAACAGGAGGTACTGTGTATGTATACTTATAATATGCGTGTAGTTTTAAAACTTTGCCATATGTATTTGCAAGTGATGGAGTGATACAAGCACAATGCACAGATTTTCTTAAAAGTTCACAATGAAGTGTGCTCAGTGTAGAAGACTGATTTTTCGAATAGAAATGGATACATTACGCCAAAACTTTATCGGAACTTCCTACTTTTTATACTTACCTAAATCTCAATTCAATTTTGTCGTAGTGAAGTCATTATTGTACCCTTTACTAATTATAAATATGTAACCAGTGTAGAAGTGGTGCACATTTATTATATTACATTATTATATTATTCGATTTGTACGATTCGTTTGTTGATTAGACGCAATGTAACATGGCGCGATCTCTACGGGTGTTTGCCATTTCCAAAACCAATCGCCTGAATTATATATAAGAATTGCATCTAATTTAAAAACGGAATATTAGATCTTTGTAACATTTGGAAGTGTTTCTAGTTGGTGTATATTTATAATAAAATACTGCATTATTCAAAGCCGAGTTTCAATCAGGAATTTAATAAAACAGCATTGAGTGTCCTAGTTACACACATTTTTATTTTCCTATTTTATACCATGATATAAATTGTAATAACAGAGGATGGTTATTAGGTTTCAGAGCATGAACGTTGAATTTCGAGGAACATCAGTCGCGTTAAATACAGCTGTTGTTTTGCAAGCAACACATTTCCAGTCACAGTATAAAATAATTTAAAAATCACATTGACAAAATATACCAGTCCCGAATACATCGATCAGTATTCATCTGTATGTCGCAAGCATCTGAATCTCACAGCACCAGTTCCGACACTCGCGGTATCACCCAATTTATAAAATCTTCATTTTCACGACGGTATCACCAAACATTCATATACGCGCGACATACATACACTTTTAGTTAAAATCATTACAACGCTAAACTTCTAATTAGTTCTAAGGTTAAGACATACATTATACATTATCTAGACAATAAAATAACTTACACCTAATACTGTTTACATACTAAACGGAATATTTTAGAAAAGTTGGAGATGTCAGACTGGAGCGGAGGCCAATGTGCCTGAGTTTTGGCACTTAGATAATGGTAAAAGTAGTCAAAATCATCACAACAAATAAATCTAAATTTCATTTCATTATCCAGATGTTAAATTGATATGTGATAACGAGTAAAACATACTATCAAATCCGAAGTCCGCTGCTACCGTGACGACGCACAATATATTGTCGAATCACTTTACATCAACCGGTTATAACGAAGAGACATACGCAATATAATATATTTCATAAGTCAATATGATAAAAATAAATAGGTTATTATATCCCAGGCCTACTCTACACAATCAACGTTAATTGTTTATAGTCATACAATGTAAAATAAAACCAAGATTTAATTATGTATATAAAAAAATCCCTTTAAATTGCACAAATAAAACAAACAAACTATACGTCCCCGTTTTGTTACGAAGTCTTAAAATTCCAAATAATTTGACTATCTAATCCTTAACAAAATGGACCATGTTGAAAACCTATCTAATGCAACGTTTCTCAGTTTTCAGTCAAATGAAGCTTTTAGCGACATTCACAACGCATTCGCTAATAAAAATAATGACAATAAACCAAAATTAGATTCGATTAAAATTATAATACGTACATAGTACTTCAAGGTACCGACTGACTTGACCCTCCGAAGCAAACATCCTATTTACTTTATACACTCACAAAACTATAATTTTGCATTGTTTCCTCAGCCAACATGTGACATCTCACTAGAATATAAGCAACATTATTGCTTGTTATTGAAACATCGTCTTAATTATAATTACAAAGCATTGAACTTGGTAGAGGATTGGTGGTTCTTCATGTAATGTTTGAAACCATCTGTTTGTACTTGTCAATGCTGCCAGTTCTGTCACATTTTATCTCCAAAAATATAAGTACTATATTATTACAAACTGCAAAATGTAATATACAGGAGGACAAGAGGAATTACAACCATAGTGATTCATTTTTGAAGACATTTGTGGCAAATGTAGAGGATGACGTGCATTGTACAGCGCAGCAGCGCAGTGGCGTTTGTGTTGAATTAGTATAAAATATTATATTCACATAAATCATTTAGTGACTCAACAAAGGAACTATAATACAATGAATACAATTTAAAACCAAAGTGGGGACTGACAGCAAATAAAATATTGTCTTTAAAGATATTACTCTAAATCCAATAAGACATGCAAGTATTAGCCTGAAATCAAAAACATTTTACAATACAATAATGCGATTTATTCCCAAATATTAATAGTAGGTATCGCAATAGTTCAGACATACTTACACATAAGTAGTAACAGGTGAAGAGTGTATGAGATCATCGCATTATAGCGGTAAAATTGACTCAAATCACTGGTTAAACCTACGATACACTTTCATTAGTAAACTTATCACTGTATTATGTATAATACAGAGCTAGAAACATTAACAGAAAATCATTCAATTCACAACTAAATCGTTCATCATTCTAAAATATAATTCAGACCGTCATTAAGCATACTGACATCACATTAATTGCAACTAAAAATTAATAAGCTGTATAAACACCCCGCGCTATGGGACACATTCGCTAAGTGCGAGTAAGGATGCAGGTAATGAATGTGTCGCCGGGAGCGCGGAGTGATCGGATTTAACATTATAAGCTTACAGTTACGTGAACAGGATGGATTTAGAACAGAATGGTATTGAGTATGATACTGCAGGTTGTTCCTTAGCGGCGGTGCGGGGGCAGGGCAATCATGTTGCGTAGCGCTTAGTCCAGAGGCGCGCGATGCGATCGTGTTCCTCTCTGTTCTGGAGATATTGTGTTGCGATGCTACCCACTAAGGGATCGGCTGAAATTAAACAAACAGTTGTTAGTTATCTTATCATAGAATCCATCAGTTTACATGGTTCATTTCACACACAGGAAACGAACAAATTATTTTAAGCGCGAAGCATTCCAGGACGTTGTTCAAGACAAATTAAAAATAACCAGACTTCATTATGTATAATGAAAACGACGGACGGAAACATGTTTTGATTCCCGAGTTGTGTAAACGATGGAATTTTCTACTAACAAATTCTTTGTCTATCTCAATGGATTTTAAACTCCTGTTGGTGATATTCGATAACTTTGCTAAATGGTAATCTATACAATTTCATACACATTACATAACATCACTTGGATAATTAAAACATTATTACATGAGATACACTTATTACATGGGACTCATAACATAAATAGTGAAAAGTAGGTTTTACATTGTACAATGACATTAAGTGCCGTAATGTGCACCTCTGCCTATCCCTTCTGGGATAAAAGGCGTGATGTTATGTTAACATAAAACAATCACAACCATATATTACGTCCAATACAAATTATGTTTCGAATCGAACTATTTTTGTTAGAAACAATATGTATCAGATAAAACTGTAGTACTTTCATACATCATTGATTTTTTTAATAAATGTCGCTGTACAAACTAGTATCGATATAAATAAACACGGCGATAGGATTAACCGTGAACAAAACACCGGGAGGACATTGAGGACGGGAGGGCTTTAACCTCTCTAGACTATCAAGAGCTTTTGTGTTAGAAAGTTGACATAGAATAGATATTAACATAAGAACACACCCTCCGAGTTTGTATAGAAGGTAATAGATTATAGAAACGCTCGACTTTTCTGTTGACATTGAAGTGAAGTTTTTACCAAATTCAACATTAGATCAATATTCTTGTTCTTGAGCTTCACAAAAATACTAGTGATAACGAAACCACAGTACTTTGATTCATTTTCTTCTATCTAAGCATTGTTCTGTGCATCACCCTAAGACACTCGGAAATAATCTCATTTTTACTAAAAGGCAGCTAATGTTGTCTGTGTATTACGTTTAAAAAAATCAAAATATCTTCAAGTCTGAGATAAAGGACTGTGCTCTAAATTTTATGATCATTTAATTGAAGCATATAAAAAGTACATAGTTACCTGGATTGCAGTCGGTAAGCAATGAGCATATTGATAGTAAAACTTTAGATATTGTCAGCGCCGGCGACCAGTTGTCTTTCAGGATGTCTAGGCATATGACCCCCTGGCTATTGATGTTACAATGATATATCCTAGTCCGGAATGTCACCTGAAATGCACAAGTAAATAATATTAGTACACCCTAGTCAAGTTGTCAATATTTACAGATTTCATGTTTAAACTTACAATTATCATCAATACACGGAAATATTGTCAATGATAACGAAAAAAATATGGTTTAGTTGACATGGAGTCATCAAATATTTGAATAAATTTTACATCTACAGATTATGTAGATTTAAATGTACAATCGGATACACAAAACTATAGTAGTAGCTCCTAAATTTTCGGCATGTCATTTCAAATTCACTATGGTATGAAACCGCCTATCATGACACGCTTCATCAAGTTACGATCCGTATCAATTTAGCGAGCGAGGATATTGCCCCATCGAATGATGGAGAACTTTTAAAGGATACCTGTATTATTTTCATTTAACCCAGCAAAACCATTAATCTAAATTGACAATAAAATTCGCATAAAGGAAACTGCATCTCGAAAAGGATACAGGTACTTCTGATGACGCAATCAGCTATTTATAGGAGGGACGAAAATTTTGTCTCACGCGACTTGGTAGAGAACTAAGTCCAACGTGCATTAACGAGGGAGATAACTCCCATCAGCATATTAATAATTGCACCGTAAAATTATATTTACTATTGTAATAATGAGTTGCTGGCTTCCGTAACTCTACACTCGGCGAGGGTGCTCCCGCGAACAAAAGAAATTACGAATGAAATCGTTTGTTCAAAGCTGTTTTCAATTGTCAATGCTTCGGAAGGTTTCACGGAAACCTTCGTACTGAGTAAATTCTTTATACACAGTCACACATGGGTACTTATCGTAAGAATTCGTCATTATCCTTACTACTTAAAAAAAGACGTTTGAAAGTCTGGTTTGGACCTAAAAGCATTTCTTGGAAGTGTTGCGGTTTTGTTCCGTCCGACATCAAACAAAAACTAATAATTGGGATCCCATTTAAGACGAAGTTGAAATACGTTCGAGATAAAATCAAGGAGTTCAGAAATCGTTGAGTAAATTAGTTTGGCTGTGTAACTTAGGTGTGCAAAATACGTTTTGACGAGTCAAGAAAATGATGCGACAGAGTGATTGATGTGATGCGCCCGAGATATATTTTTAGAGGACCGTCCTCGTCCTAAATTCTTCAACTATTTTCATCTTTCTGAAGTTCATTGAAATTAAACGCTCATCTGCTTGTGGGCGATTTGTACATGTAAAGAAATATTGAGGGAAAGTTTTCTCAAACACCCTATTTAATACATACGAGTCGTTTAGGCACGTATGGCATTGATTGATTCGTCGGACAATGGCGAGCGAAGAGGGATGTTAGCACTAATTAAATACTAGGGTGTACCGCGACCCCACGCGGGGCTCGGACCTCGGTTAAGGGCGTTGCTAGACACGATCGGCTAGGGTTTGGGGAGATTGAATTGATTCCATATTACACTTATAGATCGATACGCACTAGGGATAACGTGAATAAACTTTGAAGATGCAAACTGTTTAGAATCAATGAATTCCATTTGCTATGTGTGGAATAATGCTTGATGGAATAAAGATAATTATGTGGTATTTTATTAGTCAAAAAAATAAGATATTATTTACGAAATCCTCGAAATCAGTTGGAAACATAAAAGAATTTTTGTGAAACCAAATTTTCAATGAAAAAAGTTTCAAAATTAAAATGTCAAATACTTCTTTCTAACTATCTTCAGACACGAGATAATCTAGATAATTATTACAGAATAAATTAATTGCTTATCTATATATACTACGAAAATATTGAACTTTAGTGTCAATGGCAAGGTCAAAGACCCTGACAACACACTGAAATATAGTAAATAAATAGAATACATGCGGAGTATGTAGAGTTTACAACTTGAACACTGATAATTATAATATATCACCAAGTCACCCAAACATTGGTCAACTCTACAAATTACATGAAACTGCTGTGTCATTGGTGCATACCTACTAACGAAGACCTGAGAGGTCAAGAAAACCTATATTTTATATTTCATTTGATTTCGTTTTTTATAAATGATATGACTGTGCTACTACCATAGTCAAGATTCTTAATATACCCAGTAAATGCAGCATTTACATGCTCCCCTGCACATCACTTACACATATTTAGATTTCCCCAAATATGTGAAGAAGTTATGTCCTGTTTAATAATATGTAAGTATGTAACTATGTTATGATATACTTTATCATTTTGACCAGAAAACACAAAAAAGGGGGTTAAGGTGACTAATTTGCAAACCTGTATCAAAAATGTCAACAATCTATTAACATAATAAAAATGTAATTAAATAAAATAAGTCAATGCTCGCAATAAAAATAAAGAAAATGTAATACCTTGGGAGGTTTGAATGGGTACTCTGGAGAGAAATGTATGTCAAGGAAGAAGACTCCGCCTTCATAGACTGAACCAGGTGGGCCTAGGATGGTGGACACCCACTCATACAAGTTGTCTCCTTTTGGCCCCGCACTGCAGTTTGGTGGGGGGTCTAGTGTAATCTCTGCAAGTTCTTTCTGGATCCTCTTTGCTGACGTACCAAGAGCCTTCGACATCTTGGAATTGGGTTTGTTTTCTTTTGTTTCTGGCTTATTCTCAGCGATGGCCCCGTTAGAGCCTGAACCTCTGCCGCGTCCCGTACCACTCCCTGATGAACCAGACGCACCGCTCATTATCTAAAAGCACCAAATGACTCATTCCGCTAAACCAAAAAGCAGCTAGTAAAAAGCTTGCATCATGAATACAATGGTTGTGAAGGTGTTAAACAAATGCTAATGAACACATGCTGATGATGGGAAAAAATAATCTGAACATCCTTGTAGGAATGATCCCAAAAATAAACGGGTTTGATGACACAATGTTATAAGCAAATAAATCTGAAAGTGCAATGACTTGACAATGAGCAATGAACTTAATTGACCTTTGTAGAATAATTACTGATGACACACATAAATGCAACTACAAACACATTGCAAGGTACTTTTAGTTACAAAATCACAAAAGAAGAGCATGTTTTTTTTTATTTCCAGCATGAACATAATGACTAGAACAAAGACATTCCTACTACTAGCACTTCATACACCAAACATTAAGATAATAATAAATAAAAAATACTACGCTCTACTGACACTAGCTCGACGATTTAACTCAAAATAACTAGGCAAAATGAAATGGAAAAAGATTTATTTGTACCTTACGAATAACAGTCGGCCATCTTGTGGGCTGGCGTTATCCGATAATTTACAATTTTTTGATTCACCAGTGACCCAATTCAATGAAAAACACTGCTCCTGACACACAACGATTAGTATGTAACGAAATTTAGCGACGACACGTGCAAAATTTGTGCAACGATAATAATGTAATCTCCGTGTTAGATGCCCCGAACTGCAAAGCGTAAATAGGCAGCCTGTTACTTTCTGCACTAACACCGCTCTTTGATAAGAGATACAAGGATGAATTATACCTTAATATATGATCAAAGTCGACTTAGGGGGGTCCCGGCAAGGCTTTTGGTGCTTCAATCCACTTCTACCACATTTCATCCACTTGTCTGTCACCCTCACCAACACAAACAACCACTGAAATTCACGGAATGCACACAAGCTCAGATATGAAATAAATACATATAAAGACAGCACCTGGAGCTTCTGGATACTTACAAACTGGTAATAGATACTAAATGAACTAGTTTCTTGCTAGAAAAATAAGCAATGTTCAGTAATAAAGTGACGAAACTATTATGAATTACACGAAGCACAACCACATTCCGACATTTTTTAACTTTTTTTTAATTTTCAGAAAGTGTTGCAATTGTTTATTTTGATCACTTGATTTGATATTTGTTTTTTGATATTTATTTTTTGCATTTATTTCACCGTGCACTCAACAATATTTAAAAAAATATATAATTACAAATAAACGCTTTTATAAGCGCTATTTTTACTCAAATTACTTCCAAGTTTTGATTTAGTGTTCAACAGTTCAACGAAGGTTAGCATACAAATCCATTAAAATCATTTACAGGTCTATGGATTTTCGGTCACAGCATTATTTTCCTCTATGGTACTGTCACTGTCAATCTAGGGACATATTATGACATTGTACTACTTGTAAAATCATTGGATTATCGATTTGTCTTGAAATAATAATCGATTTTTCATTAAAATATCACATTCTCAGACGATTTTTAATAAATCGATTTTTATTAAAATTATTATATAAAATATTTTAATAATATTCAAGTACAATAATTTCAAAGTAATCGCCATAAAATATATAGCAATACCGCAGATATAGCCATTTCTTAGTCATACATAAATAATCAACACAAATAAAAAATTAAAAAATATGAAATTAAATTAGGTACAATACCACCAAATTCGTTCGTGTAATATCTCTAAGCCGATACCATGCTATTGGGGAAAAATAAATACGCTTTTCATTGGGTATTACAGTGTATTTTACTACCGTAATTATAATTCTACGGTAGGTGGCTGGCAGTGGTCGGGTGCGTGAAGATCGAGCTCAGTGGCATGCTATTGGAGAGGCCTATGTCCAGCAGTGGACGAGAACAGGCTGTAAATGATGATGATGAAGTGGTAAATCTTTCCTGATTACGGTGTTTTACCGTGATTACGGTGCAGTTGACAACAGTAACATAAATAATATAATGAAATATCAACCAAATGTTGGTTAAACAGTACAGTTCGTAGACTCCATCTAGTGAATGTTTGATTAATATGTAGTGATTAAACATTGTTTCAAAAACACAAAAACAATGGGATTATAGGTGGCGTCAATGAAATATTTAACGGAAACAGTATTCTTTGATAGTTCGCGTTCCTAGCTCAGTCAGAAGAAAATCGGTAATAATTGACTGAATTATTTAAAAAAAAAGTCGCAATTGACTTATAATAATCGATCTAGCAATCTATTGATCGATCGATGTAAAATAAAACAAGAACAATAATGATTTATTCATTATAAAAATCGATTATTAATCGTAATCGATTCTTTCTATAATCGATAATTTTTACATCCCTATGTCAGTCCCATCATTCGTATTCACACTTCAATAGTTCATTCATTCATTCGCAGACTCACAGTCACAGTGTCACTGCACTGCCAGCAACTGCCAGTTTGACTGATTGTGTCGTGTTAAGGACTTTGTTTGTGTTGTGTTGTGCTCGTGGTACTTGTGTACTTCTAATAAACTTAAATAAGTTTTATATTTTATAGTATCGTTACAAATCAGCTATCACTATGGGGAAACGCCAGCATCAAAAGGATAAAATGTATGTATCGTTGTCGTATAAAAACTATTTTCATAATCCCGTCTCGTGGTATTTTATCTTGTTGTGATTATTTACTAATCGTGTATGTTTTGCTGTAATTTTCAGGTACCTGACGTACACAGAGTGGACGACACTGTACGGAGGTAAAAGATCAGGCACTAGTAAGGAAGAGGACACTACTTTTAAACGACTGCCGTTTGACCATTGCTGCCTATGTCTTCAGCCTTTCGATGACCCTTACTGCGACATGGACGGCAATATATTTGAGTTGCAAGCCATATTAGACTTTGTAAAGAAGTTTAAAATCAACCCAGTTACTGGGAAAGTAAGTATATTTGATACCTGTAAAACTTTAAATCACACATTTGTGTCCCATAAAAAATAACACGTAGGTACATAATGTCTTGCCCTTAACCCAATAAGAAGAGTTTTAAACTTTTTAATAATACTATTCTTAATTACACTCTACTAATTAGCAAATTAATTTAGAAACCAGTTACTTATTAGTCTTTGAACTAGATAATAAAATGCCAAATTTTCATTGCAAATAAATCCCATGAGAATAAGTGAAAACAGATATTCCAACTAGATGCTGTAAATAACACCACAAGTAATTTAATTATGTTATTTCTTTACAGAAAATAGACATCAAATCCTTGACAAAGTTGAATTTCTTCAAAAATGCTGAGGAGGACTACCACTGCCCAGTTCTATTCAAGCCCTTCACAAAGAACTCTCATATTGTGGCCATCAAGACCAGTGGGAATGTGTACTCAAATGAGGCTGTGGAACAGCTGAACATCAAAGGCAAGAACTGGAAGGACCTGATCAATGATACTCCATTCACCAGGGCTGATATCATTACCGTACAGGACCCTAACAATCTTACAAAGTTTAATATCTCTACTTTTCATCATATTAAACATAATCTGAGGGTGGAGACTGAAGGTAAATACTTTTACACATAATATTGATTAATTTCCAATTATGAAAAATCCACAACAATTGTTCATACAAAAGTAGTAGTAAAAATAAGGTTTATAATGGTGTAAGTGTAGAGCTGTCACCAATGACCGCTTGGATTTTGACCAATAAATGAAGTAACTTGTGAAGCTTTTCTATAGATGTGACTATTATTGTGGATATCATTAGCCTTCTTTTATTGATACATTTATTTATCCACTGTCTTTTCCTAATTGAACATCTTCCAGATAATAATACAGGTCTTCAAAAGCCAATAAGGACAATAATAAGCCAGTTCAATGAGGACGGAACCTATAGTGTTGCTAAGTTCTTATTTTTTCTAAATTAAAACTTTATTTTGCAGAGGAAATAGCAATGAGGAAAGATCCCCATGCCAGACTGAAGACTGTATCAGCTGAAACAAAAGATATCCTACAGGAACTGGAGAAAGAATACAAAGCACCTGAAAAGAAAGAAGTAAAGAAAGAGGTTAGTATTACTTATTTTAATAGCATTCTTATTTTTATAGAAATTTATTCAAATAAGAATAATTTGAAATTGAATCAAACTAAAGACTGAACGTGACTGACGTGGTGGCCCGGAGGTTTAAGACGCCCACTTCTCATGCATGAGGGTGCGGGTTCGAAACCTACCAACGGCAAGTACCAATGTGACTTTTTCCGAGTTATATGTACTTTCTAAGGTTATTTAGACACCACTGACAAACGGTGAAGGAAAAACAACGTGAAGAAACCTGGACTTATAATTTCTAAATATAAGTTTGAAATCGCCAACCCGCATTGAGCAAGCGTGGTGATTAATGCTCTAACCTTCTCCGTGTGAGAAGAGGCTTTGCTCAGCAGTGGGCATTTATAGGCTGTTGATGAAAGACTGAAAGACCATGAATAATATTTATGTCATCTTATTAGTCTACCTGTATGACCTGGCAGCCTAAAATTACATGACCCTTAGCTCATGGTATTTTAACACCATGCATCTTAATGCATGGTATTTTTACACCACACATCTAAATACATAATGCATTGTATTTTAATACTATGCATGGTATTAAAATTTCAACTTTAATACCATGCAACAAATTACTAAGACAGTAAAACATAAGATATATCTCTTTTCTCATAATTATATAATGTGTTATGTTCATCAGGTTGCAGATAAGTTCAATGCGGCTCATTACTCCACTGGTATGGTGGCTGCCAGCTTCACATCCACTGCTATGATGCCAGAGACAGTCCATGAAGCTGCTATTATCTGTGAGGATGATGTCAAATATGATATGGTCAAGAAAAAAGGTTGGTAACAAAAATTTTATAATGATAAGGCTTAATATTACAAATATTGTGTTACCTCTGAAACAATAGTAAAAATTGTGTTGCTTATAATTGTATTTTCATGTTATACAATGATAATCTGTTCTTAAAGAGCGTATTTTCTAACTAGCATTGGTTTCTTACAAGTCCTTATTAAACTCCAACATACACGGTCCACACTCAGACTTAAAACAAGTATGATTTATTAATAATTTTTATTATTTTCAGGATATGTAAGACTAGTCACAAACCTGGGGCCTCTGAACTTCGAGCTGTACTGCGACTTAACACCCAAAGCATGCGACAACTTCATCAGACATTGCAACAATGGATACTATAATGGAACCAAGTTTCATAGGTCTATTCGGAATTTTATGGTGAGTATCTATGGCTAACTATGCATGTAATAATATGCATGTGCTTAATTTTTTATGGTGTCGCGAGCCCGCCCTGCAGGCAGGCCCTCGGCTGTGCAATTTCAAAACCTAGTATCTGACAAATCTTAAAAAAATGTGTTTTTGCATTTTTCGACCTTATAGGATAGCAAAAACTCCCAAAAACAAATCAAATTTTGAAATCACTCCCAAGAAGATACGACTAATATTATTGAAGTGGCAAGCTGTCAAAGATATGAAATCATTTTTCGGCTCTCGTGTATAATTTGGTTTTATGCAGATACTGGGTTTTGATATTTCACAGCCGCCCTGCTCTACACGTTTTATCTTATGTGCAACAACAATAATAAACATTCAGTGTATGATTTGTCTACAAGTTTTGTCTCTGAGTAAAGAATATAATGTTAAACGTCATTACACAACTGAAAATATTTTTCTGGCCCTCCGGCTGTTGTAAGAAATTTAATTAGCCTGTGAGGGTATATAGTTTGGATAGCCCTGGTGTAGAGTATGGTTACATCTACTTCTTCTTGATGGATCACCTGGTAGAATCCAACCCGCAACATTAGAGCAGTTACAGCACATAACATAACATAACATCACGCCTTTTATCCCCGAAGGGGTAGGCAGAGGTGCACATTATGCCACTGTACAATGTAACACCCACTTTTCACTATTTATGTTATGAGTCCCATGTAATAGGGGGTGAGCCTATTGCCATATACCGGGCACAATTCCAAACTCCGTGCTACTACTGAGAATTTTTTTAAAACTCAGTAATACTTTGCCCGACCCGGGAATCGAACCCGATACCCCTTGCCCGGCAGTCGCACTTGCGACCACTCGGCCAACGAGGCAGTCACAGCACAATGTTTATATTAAAGCTTCTATGAGACATACTGAATTAATCATGTTTCGGCTTACACACGTAACTGTTTGACTAGGAACTTGACGTTTCAAGCCGTGCTAGAGGCTCATATTCATGAGCAGCATTCCGCGACCCGCGACGCGGCGTCTGTTGCGCTGCTACTGGTACATGTATATTACCAGCCCTTAAAGGATTATGGAATAGGGCCTCTGGTCCTAGCCCATACGACAAACACAACACCTGCGTAGTTTCACCCCAGATTTCTATGAGGCCCTAGTATCATTCCTCTGGTCTCCGCTCTGATAATCATATCTTTTTTATTTCATATTTCAGATCCAAGGTGGCGATCCAACTGGCACTGGTTTGGGTGGTGAGTCAGTCTGGAAGAAACCATTTGAAGATGAAGTCAAGCCGAATTTACATCACACTGGCAGAGGGGTGCTGTCTATGGCGAACTCTGGACCAAATACTAATGGATCGCAGTTGTAAGTATAATACCTATATTTTTTTTTAGTTAGTTAGAGTCAGAAGAAATACGAATTTGGCATATAACACTTATTTATCTCCAGTCATATTTTCAAGTGCCATACCATAATATGGGACATACCAGATATGGAGTACAGTTCCACCTAATTACACTATGAATTTTACTTTACCCTACTGAAACTTTGCCCTGAAAATCTTACTCAAGCTTGTTGCTCCGCAGTCAAGCTTGTGACTAGCCAGATAAGGCATTATAACTTTACTAGCTTTTACCCGCGGCTTCGCTCGCGTCACAAAAGAATAAAAAGTAGCCTATGTGACATATACCAATACACACAGCGCCATCTATACCAATACCTTTGGTTTTTCCTCGGGAATATCATTTTTTCCGGGTTAAAAAGCACCCTATTATTTAATCCGGACTTCTAACTTTACGTCTGCAAAAATTCAAAGCAATCGGTTGAGTAATTACGGCGTGAAGTTGGAACAAACAAAAAAACAAACAAACTCATTTCCAGATTTATAATATTAGTAAGGATAAGTACACTTCTTACTTACGTGAAACTGGCTTACCATTACCTGTGTCTAATAAATGTAATGTTTTCAGTTTCATAACCTTCCGTTCGTGCAAACAACTGGATGGCAAGCACACAATATTCGGCAAGTTAGTCGGCGGTATGGATACTCTAACGGCCATGGAGCAGATTGAGGTTGACAATAAGGACCGGCCCATTCAAGATATTGTTATTGAAGTTGCACAAGTCTTTGTGGATCCCTTCGCTGAAGCTGAAGAACAGGTAAAGGATATAATATAAACCTAGTGGCCCTAGTATAAACTAAACAACTATTCACTGTCATGCCAAGACATTGCTTTAGACTTATTTTTTCCATATTTGAGTACCAGTCCGTAATAGACTGCCTGGTTGGCCGAGTGGTCGCAAGTTCGACTGCCGGGCAGGGGGTCTCGGGTTCGATTCCCGGATCGGGCAAAATATTACTGGGTTTCTAAAAGGGTGGGTGTTACTTCTGTGTGCATCTCTGCCTACCCCTTCGGGGATAATAGGCGTGATGTTATGTTATGTCAATAGTCCCTGAAAACTCATACAAGTTATGCTTTTCCTAATCATGGAGAATCGTGTTATTGTTTCTCTTCCAATGTTTTTCAATGTGTTATTAATTGTTACAGCTTATCAAAGACAGAGCAGAGGAACTGAAAAGGAAAGCAGAAGCTGAAGGATCACAAGTTAGGCCAAAGAAAGCAAAACAGCCGCTGAAAGTATTCAGAGACGGAGTCGGCAAATATCTTAATTTACAGGAAGTAGCGCCACCTGCACCTACTGCTAAAACCAATAAGACAATAGAACCTCCCACCAAAAAGGTTAAAACTGATAAAAAATTTGGTTTTGGCGGTTTCGACAATTGGTAATTAATTAGTGTGTGTCTATTTTAGTTATAATATTTGTACATATTGTATACAATTCTTTATAGTTATAAGTTGTAGAATAAAAATACATTTAATTTTAATATTTCTTTATTTTTATTTATTTATACCTCCTAAAATACTGACAACTTTAAATAAATTCATAACAATTTTTCTTTTACTTATTACTCATATCATAATTAATAATAAATTCATCAATTAAGTAGGTACATCTATAATGTTAATTAAAACATTAAGTAACCCAGTTTATTTAACTATTCCTAATAAATACATCAACACAATAATAAGTGCCATTATCATGTATATTTAATAATTCATTACATTTTTACCCCTTGAGTCTTTTTTAAATTTAAATGAGTATAAATAGGTAACAGTTGACATATTTGTTCAAATCTTTGTGATGTAGTAGCCATTACATCCAACTTGTCTCTTTTATGAAATAGAAGATAAATAGACATTGTCTATTTAAAATAATGAATTTGGAATTTAATTCACTTTAAATAAAAGAAAGAGGTTTTCAACTTGCTCTTAATTTGGTTTATCTATAAAAGCTGTTTAGCACATACAGTTACAAATACTGAATCTAGTTTCATAAAAGGTGAAATTTAAGCTGAATTGTGATGTTTTGGTTTCATTTATAATGGTAATTCTTTACAATTACATAATTTATTGAATATTTCCTAACAGTACCAGATACCATGTGTTTTATTAACACTATGCTACACCATTTTAATATCTTTTATATTATTTTTTTCACATTTAAGTTTGTCATTATCCTGTGACTATACAGGCTAGTCATGGGCCAGTAGCCTTATGGGCACCATTGTCAAACTCAATATCTTTATCATAGTTTCATAGCCTGATTTTCTTGCAAATCATATGTTTAGTTGTAATTTGTGCGCCGTCTAGCCGTCCTCTGCTTGTCAAATCTCATTTCCATCTCTTCTAAGACCTTCGGAGTGTATCGCACCACCAGTTTGACTGAGCCAACTGCTTGCTTCAACAATTCTACAGCTTTCTCGTGGTTTTCTCCCTCCACTGACACGCCATTTACAGATAACAGCTGGTCGCCCCTCTTGAGGCCTCCGTGACGGTCGGCAACACCACCAGGAATAATTCGTGATATGTAAATAGGTGAATTTTGTTCCTTCCCACCCATTACGTTGAAACCTAAACCTTCTTCCGTCTTCGGTAGCTCGACAACTCTTGGGTGTGCATGACCTTCAGCAGCAGCGAACGCGGCCACCGTGGCCTTGGCTGTCGCGGAAGCCCTGATGTCTGCTGAGCCTTGGATGTCAACAGTCTCATAGACGTGCTCATACACTTCACGAACAGCATTTAAGAAATCACTTTGTAGCACTTTCTGTAATGCTGCAAGCTTCGTAGCAGGAACTTCACCACTCTGTTGAAGTTTCTCGAGCAATTCGATAGCCCGTTTTATGTCCCTGGCAAGGGTTAACTGTTCCCCAGAACTACTCATGGTATTTGAATTGATTTAAAATGTGGAAACTAGAAGAATTTGGGCGTATTAAAAACACGAAAGCGGATCAGTGAATCAATACACTACAGCAGGTACTTCACGTTCGAAAACTAGTTATTACTAAATAATCCGTAAATGCTACACACAAATTAACTTGCAGATTACATTGCTTCAGCACATAAATATCTTGAATTAAGTGCTATAATTTACTCAGAACTTTTAATAATTTTATAAAACATTCACTCACTTTTTTCACAATTTATTCACTCACATAACACAACAATTCTACGTAAACTTTCGGAACGTTTGGAATTTGACATTTTTGATAATATTTTTTGTATTGGTACCGTGTGATGTTTATGTGTTCGTTTAGAAATAGAGTAACCTATTGTTTTATTTAGTACATTATTAATTTCTTAAGACTTTTTACACTAATTATTTTTTTTATCACTCTAGAAATGTGAAATTTAACAAGTTTTATAAGGTTTGTGTTAGCTATTTAAAAAAGAAAATAAATAATCGTTCGGAAATATCAAAAAAATTTGACAACCGTTCAGTTGCACCAACATTTCGCCAATAATGCTAAATATCTAAATTGCCATAATTGGGCAGTAATTTTCAACTTTGATTTACAGTATTATTAAAGTATTTTACAATTTTTATTATACAAGATAAGTGCTAAACTAGTGTAAGATTTAAAGTGTAGTGAAAGTGACTGAAGAAACCTTGCAGTCGTCGAGACAATGGATGATTTAGGTAAGTTTAGGTCTTATCATAACCTGTTTTGGTTGCTGTATATGATATGACGTGTTCTGCTAAAATAACTTGTTAATTTGCATATTTGTTCCTTGTGGGTCCTTCTAGTCTTATCCATGACTCAGTAGCTTAGGGCGGATCCTGACATTTATGCATTTGGAGATAGTATTCGCTGATAATTTGTGTAGTTCCTAGCTTCAAATATTTTGTTTATTTAAGTTACACATATGGATTCTGTGATTGAGAAAAGATATAAACCGGTAGTCTTTAAGGTCGTTGCAATTGTGTAATGCTGGAGAGAAAGGATAGTAGAGATTTCTTAATAAGTTTGAAAAACTCATTATTTACTTTTTCTTATCTGTGCAAACAAAACAGTTTATCACATTATTATCATAAGAGTTTGACATAAAATTATGTCAGTGACCTCTTCAAGGATTCAGTACTGTGTTATCATTTTATTATAGTTATTTGAAAGCTTTTAATTTTAAGAAGACTAAATAAGAAAATATACTATTACTTAGTAAATACATCATGTTAAAGCCGAGTACTTTAACGAAACTAGACTTTTGATAATTTAACTTTACTAAATAAAAATATAGTTTTTCCTATGTTAAATTTAGTTAAGGAAATCAATGCAGTTCTAGGTAAAATATGAAACCATTCATATTATTAATGAATCACTTAAAATGTAGTAACTATATTCATGAGGTGGTTCATTTTCCTGGAAAAAAAGGACCGTATTAATGCAATTTAATTCATTATTGTAATAAAAATAATATTGATAGTATGTATTATTAGTAGTGAATACACAATAGAATATTAAATTTTATTAATTAAAAATAAAATTCAGTTTTTGTTATTTATAATTTCTTTATACCGAGCAGTCTGCGGTAACTACTTTATCCGTAACCTATTAAAGTTTTTTGAGGGTTAAAATAATAAAACATTGTCCTACCCTGGGTGCTGCGACAGGCAGTATCATATTTTTACTGACTAAAAACCACCATGTTCCAACTCTTACTCAGAACCTGGGTCACGGTAACTTTTTATGATTTTATCCGCAACCCTGACTGAATGACTATAACTGTTATAAAGTTATGTTTTTATAATAACTATCGTGAGACATACTAAATTAACTAAAAACACGGGTTACTCACGTGCATGTACTTAGAAAAGCTCTACTAGTTTCGTGAGCTGCGCGACGTCGCCGCGACCGCGCACGCTGCTCATGAGGAAGAACCCCTCTGTGGTTCGAAACTAGTAGAGCTTTTCTCAGTATATTCACGTGAGTAACCCGCGTTTTTACTTATTATAAAGTTAACGTAAACGTTTTCTTAGTGCTGCCTCTCCGGGCACTACCAATAACAACTTAACTGAAAATATCTGTTTACTCACGTAAATATACTGAGAAAAGCACTTCTAGTTTCAAGTCACAGAGGGACTACTCTTCATTACTAGCGAATGCGGCGACTGCTTTGTCTACAAGTACGTGATTAAACCGATATTATTTGTAATCTAGTGACTATGTATGTCTATCTGTCTTACTCACGACATTTATTATAAAAATAGGTACTTACTACCAATAACAAGTCTTTTGTATAAATATTTATTTAAATTCAATGGAACATCAAATATACTTCGCCTCATATTCATAATCTGCGTCTATTTAACGCCCAATTTAATTTGGCGTCAACAGAAATTTGTTTGCTGCTACTTATTAAAGTAAATTCCAGCAAAAGGACGGAAACAAGTTTATAGGAATGTGGCGCCATAACTTAACTAATCCAGTTTGCGTAAGCCTAATAATAATAATAAAATATTGACAACGTAATATACTGAACTGATTTCTTATAATACATTTTAAATTTTGTGTGAACTCCTTGACAGTCGAAAATCGATAATGTTATCGATATAAGTTTACCTTAATCGAATATTGACGTTACTGACTCGGTAAAGTAAGGTGAACCGCTATTTGAATCGATACTCAGTTTCGATTTTCGATAACAAAATTGATAAAAATATTACAAATCTCTGTAGCATTAAAAATTAAAATAAAATGACTACCTATACATTATTAACATTTCCGTTTGCACCTCACGTGCTAAGGAAAACTACAGTAGATCCAGTTCCAGTTTGCCAAGATAAAACAGTTTCGAAAAAAAATCCTGAATGTGATTGGTAAAGATAATCACAATCATTCAACGACAGTTCAAAATAAAAATCGTATATGGGCTCGTACACAAAGCTGTGATGCGCAGCATGCAACTTCGCAACGCAGAGATGCGATTTCGTGCGCAAGGCGTCTTCCAGGTTGACCACCAGTCCTTCGACGACCGTCAACCGTACTTAACGTATTTTAGATCGACAACTAGGTCGTGACATGGATCGTAAAAAGAACAGAAATGCACACTGCACTGCTGTTATTGCTTAGGAGATACAGATTTGAAGATTTTGGGAAGATACGATTTTGATGCGCGATGGGAATCAATTCGCAAGTTCTTGCGATGCGTAGAGCTCGCACATTTTTGCGAATCGACGTCGCATCGCAGTTTTGTGTACGAACCCTATATTGTTGATTAATATATTTTTTAAATCCCTACGTGTAAGGAAATTAGAAAAGTACCTATACACGTAGATGTAGCTAGTTTCCCTATACATAATGGCTTTTATAAAATTGCTGGGTGGGAGTGGCGAACCGACATCGCCGGTCATTAATCACCGCGAGGTGATGTTGTGTCATCAAGGGTTATTTCCCAAGCCATTAAAGGGTTGAACTAACTATCTGATTTATTATTATTTCTTATCAAAGCTTGATGTAGCTGACGACATGAAAAACTGGCTTTCATGGTCGTAAAAATGTTTTAATGCGATTCTGAATAGAAAATGTAGGTAAAGTTTATTTGCTTAGCAGTGTTGATGAAATGGTAGTAACTAAGCGTATTATTTTATAACAAAACCGTAAGAAAGGAATAGCTATAAAATTGAAATTGACGCAAGGCCAGGGTTGAAAATAACAATTTGTAATGGAGAGGTCTTCGAAAATGTCAGCCTGTTTCATAAACATATAACTAGACTAGATTAAAAATTAAAATCATTACTGAAGCCTGAGAAAAACGGCTAACAAAATAAACTCAAACAACTGCTTCAATTCATAACAAAACTATAAATGAACAGCAGATGCAAATACAAGGGGGCGCACTTATCAATAAAAGCTATTGCTCCAACAAGATTCACACAAGACTCAAGAGACCAATGGACAACTGGCATAAGTCAGTCCTTAGTCCAAGCAACTTCCTCGCATATTATTTTTAGATTACCACGACACAACCAACCGCTCCCACTAACTAGAAGATTAAAATGAGATATTGCAGTAGTCCGTCAGTATTACTTATATCATAGCACACAATATGCCGCGCAATTTCCCATTAAAAACCAATCAACGTTAAGTGGTCCAGCCATATCTTAACAAGCTATGATGTACGTTAATTCCTTCATAGGTCCATACCTACGCGTATTCTAAAAATATAGCTGTAGGGATTAATCAGGCACTCGAGAAATATCCCAGAGGGGGAATGCAAGAAATCTGTTACATGTCAGTGTGGAATGTCCATGTGAACTGACAGACCGATAAATCGGATTCTTGAATTGAATTCGAGTTTTTTTCGCTGATCTACGACTACGACAAAAATAATCGATTAATTAAGGGACTTGATGAGTTAGATCTTTGCTGTCGAAATGTTCGTTAGTAAGGAATTTTGTTTTTATGCGACTCATTGATGTCGTACCAAAATTATATCGTGTCAGTACTTCAATTTGATCGGACAGGTACACAATTTATAAAATGGATACTTAAATATTACAAAACTTACCCTAACATCTTAAGTGGATAGCCGAAAACTTAAGATTGATACTTCCAAAATTTTGTTTACATTCTTCCAATTCATCCTATTACTGCTTTTTGTCTGTACCCATTTCCGGATAATGAATCCGAAAATAAGTCTAGGAAGTTCAAAGAGGCAGGAAAATTGTTAACGAAAATCGGTTTACACAAGAAAAGGTACAGGAACCTTAAAATCTTCTACATCCTAGCGTTGTACTAATTGGACAGTTCTCACGATCCATACAGTTTAGACTTTCCAAAGGCCTTCGATACTTTGGTCATAGCTTTAAACCTTTTAAAAAATGCGATGTCATTACCATAAGCATCACATTTCCACATTTTACACGCACAATTCACGCGATAC